TTTTTTTTTTTTTTTTTTTTTTTTTTTTTTTTTTTTTTTTTTTTTTTTTTACTTTTAAAAATTTCAACAAATATCTTCCAATTTTTTTAAAATAATTATAATGTTTTACTGTTAATTTTAGATAATACTTCGTTTAAAATTTACTTGAGAAGAGTTTCAAAATTGTTAGAAATCACAACTATCGGCAATGGTATGATATTGTCCACTTTGAAAGGCCTCGGATTCTATTGATATGGCTACTCTGACACCATGTTAGAAATCACAACTCTCAACGATAGTATGATATTGTCTACTTTGAGCATAAGCTCTCATTTACTTTGGGCTTCCCCAAAAGATATTATCCACTAATATCCACTTTGAGCATGAGCTCTTATTTGCTTTGGACTTCCTCAAAAGGTCTAAGGTAGATAGTATTCTCAACTCAGGATCAATTAAGCATAGATTCACTCCCAATAATCCTCAACAAAAATACCCTTTAATATTCAAATAAATAAAAAAAAATGTAAAAGAAATGTTGGGATATATTTGAAAGATATTTTGTAGAGAAATAAGATACATGTAAAGATTTGATAGAGATATATTGGTTAGATTATATCATTTAAATCGTTGGAAGCTGTATTTAGTAAATTGAAACTATACATATATACCCGTGCTCTAAAATTGTACTCTCTCCTGATTCTCTGTATAAAATGTACTTTCTCATAGAACCTTTAGCCAATATTCTCGGTATAATGTAAAACCTTTAGTCAATATATTTCATATAAAACCTTTAGCCAATATATTCCTCTTTGTATTTTTTCTCTCCTATTCTTTGTGTTCATCATCGAGCGTGTGTTGTTGAGCGATCCTAACAATTGGTATTCAGAGCTAACAACTGGTATTAACTATAAGAAAAAGTGTTCGAAATTTTCATTAATACCTCTGATAAACAACTTTAAACTTTATTAAAAAGTTAATGTTTTAATAAGAATGATCCGATTGATACTGCAAGCAAGGTGTTTGTTGAAATGTCAAGGAAGGGCTGCCCACCTGACGACGTTTGCTGTACGACTATGGTGTCTTCAGTGTGTAAGTAGGTCAAATTGATGGGATGTGTAAACAAGAAAGAATTGAGGTAATAATCAAGTTGTTGGGTCGGAGCTGACCCCCATGGGGGTAACTCTCTATTGGTACGAGACCGTATAGGAAAACCAAAAGCAAAGTTAAAAGTGGACAATATTATATCATTACAGAGGTCTGTAATTTTTAACTTGATATCAAAATCATGCCCTTAACTTAGCCATATCAATAGAATCTTCAAATGTTGAACAAATAAGGTGTGAGTCTCGAAGGTGTACTCAAAAGTGACTCAAGTGTCGAACAAAAGGCTCTAGAGTAGGAGTTGAGCCTCGATTAAGGGGAGACTATTCAAGGGCTCTATAGGCCTCAGGGGAGGGAGTCCTACGTTGGCTAATTTAGAGAATGATCATGAAGGAATACATCTCCATTGGTATGAAGTCTTTTAGGGTCTTTAAGTACAGAAAAGAGAGTTCAGCTTAGATCACTCTCTTTAGAAACCCGAAAAAGACCGTCCTTACCTACCAAGATAAGGATAGAAACCCGAGAAAGACCGTGGTTACCTAGCTAAGGATGCGAAAAGAGCCTACAAGTAGGCTACTTATTGAGTATTTTTATACTATTCTTTTCTACTCTAGGTGAGTGATGCCATAGATCGAGGCGGGAATACATGCTGAATCTTAACTCCACAGAGGAGTGTCCTAGGGCGTCTAGGAGTCTGTGCATAATTTCGAGGCGGGAATGCATGCTGAATCTTAACTCCACATAGGAGTGTCTCGGGGCGTCTAGGACTCTGTGCATAATTTATTTATATCTATAATGCATCGTTCTGTAAACCGTATACCCAGAACTTTGTTTTGGATTTCAAACCTTTTACATCATTGCTACAGTCTTTTTTTTTTTTTTTGTGTAATCTCGTCTTCTCTATTTACTTTTACACGGTTCCATTGCATAGTCTATTAGTCCCGCCCTTAATTTCGGGATTTAAATTTTGGGTCCAAAGTAAAGCCACGAGAGCGTATCCTCAGAGAGAACAGTATCATAAATTCCCCTTTATTGATTGACGTCCACGACGTCCACTTTATTAATGATCTAGAAATACAAAACAACCACAACAACAACATTACTCGCTAGGTGCCATGATCGCCAAATTGGCCTTAGCGATGTTGCCATCGGCGCCCTTTGGATAGAAGCCCCCAGGAACACGCTCATTACCCCCACCATACACAATCCTCAGAATCTCCTCGGGTGTTCTTGCGTATGAGATTGAGTACTCATTTCCAGCAAGCACGTTCCCTGAGACCTTACCCTCAGCACCCTTGTCTTTGGGTACCACAATGCCCTCATCTTTTACCCCTGCACGTCCTAGCTTATTCCGCAGTTCTGATATGCGCTGTGTGAACTCTGCCACTGTCACTCCATATGGTTCAACCCTCTTCGCTGCACGTTCATAAAGAAGGGTTCTGATCACTGCATCTTGACCTGATTCAACTCCTAAGAGACCTGCAACAAGCTGAACCATTGGCTCGTAGGATTGTGTTTAGTGTTTATGTATGTATAAAAGATTGAAATTATGTTTGAATTTCAGGGAATACCCTTTTGGAGGTAGCAGATTTGAGCTTTGGATTTGCTCCGACATACCCAGTGAGTCCAACGTAAGGTACGATGTAGCTTGCGAGAAGGAAGTTTAAGTCATTAGCGTATGGGTCAAATGGTGGGTTCAACTTACTGTCAAAGGCTCTGTCCATCACTTTGGCAAAGGACTCTGAACTCAAGTTCAGTAATGGCCTTGGAAATCCTTTCACTGTGTCTTTAATTGCCCTGCATATAAATTGTGTGATGTGAAATGAGTTACGGATAAAGATCTCTTAATTAGTCGACGTGGGACTCCTCGAACGAAGTGCACCACAGAGCCTCTCTTGAGACCTATAGAGTCCTCAAATAACCTCCCTTCTCTAGAGCCATGGAACAAAGTACACTATAGAGCCTCTCATGAGGTATATGGGAGCCTTCGAACAACCTCCATTTAGTCGAGACTTCACTCCTTTTCTTTGGAGCCCTTGAACAAAGACACTTTTTTACTACACTTTTGAGACTCACAACTTCTTTATTCGACATTTGAGGATTCTATTGACATATTTAAGTTAAGGACATGGCTGAAATACCATGCCCTCAAACAACCTCTTCTTCTCTAGAGTGCTCGAACAAAGTGCACTACAGAGCCTCATCTTATAAGACCTATGGACCCTCGAACAGCCTCCCTTTAATCAAGATTTGACTCATTTTCTCTGGAGCCCTTGAACAAAGTACACTCGTTGTTCGACACTTGAGTTACTTTTTACTACACGTTTAAGACCCACAACTTCTTTGTTCGACACTTGAGGATTCTATTGACATATCTAAGTTAAGGGCATGGCTGGAATACCATGTTAGGAATTACAAACCTCCACAATCGACATGATACTGTCCACTTTGAACATAAACTCTCGTAACTTTGCTTTTATTTTCCTCAAAAGTCTCGTATCAATGGAGATATATTCCTTACTTACAAACCCCATGATCAACCCCTTAATTAGCCGAAACTCCTCACCCGAACAATCCTCAACAAAATGACCCGCGAAAGTAAAATCAACTAGAAAAATACCTCAAGTGACCAACTTCCTGGTATGCAAATTGCATGATGATGTCCTTGATGAAAGGACCCAAATTGGCCATCTTAGCGCCAGTAGGCGATGGCCCTCCCATGGTTAAATATGGTGCAACTTTATCCAAACCATATCCAACAGAGCCAAACAAGAAGAATTCAGCTTCCAAGTACTCTAAATTCAGTGGGAATTCTAAAAGATCAACATCTGATTGGGGAATCAAACGGTCTGCTCTTCTGACACTCGCAGTACAAGGAGTTAGCAGCTGGAGGGCAACGAGGAAGCTTACAACAATGGCTCTGATACTCATACCACACCCTGCCATGCTTCGATATCCACTTCTCTAGCTTTGTAATGATACGTGTTTTAGCCTCACTTATGTCCATTTTATAAGCTCTTTGCTTGTAGAATAGATGGCAGGCTAAGGATGCAGACTTAAAGTTCGATTGCCACCTTCTTTTGGATGCCGACAGCTGCTCGTGCTACAAAACAAGGTTAGTAGGTGGACCCTAACTTAGACATGAATGGATGTTGTCTTTGCATGTGGCCATCCGACGGCCACGCTTATTGAGTATTAAACCAAAATTTGCACCCAAATTCAACTTTCATTAACGATGCTGTAAAACGCTTTTTACTTCTCGAATTGGGCATAGTTGATTGACGGATATTTCTTTCCTTGAGGTCGGAGTTTAAATTTTTATATGTTGAAATATCATCACTGACCCAATAGAGTCAATCACTAGTCCAATAGAGTGAAGTCCAGTAATTGTACGGGCCCATTGTGTATTTAGATTTGTTAGGTCTAGATTGCGTAGGCTGATTGACAGGTATGGGCCCAATAATTGTACGGTAATCTGTTCCATACTTTTCCTTGGGTTGATTT